AGACGTGCGCAAAGGACGCACTGTACTCTCTCTGTTATTTGTGAAATCTAAAACCGCTCACAGCGCATCTTCAGAGGTTATCGTTCAGCAAATGGGATTCTGCAAAAATTTGGTGGTTTTGCGCGGTGCGGCCACAGCCCTTCTGCTTGCACTTCTGCAAGGGTTTTCAGCTTGCTTCAATGTGCAGGCAAAACGGGTCCTAGTCGCATTCTGTGCGTCTCGGAAGTTTAAGTTGCCCGGGCTTAAAGTGCTGTTTCTGGCCTTGTAAGTGCGTTTCTGTTGCGGAGCTTTGTGGCTCGAAAAGCATGATAAGTGCTTTCTAAGCGCAACGGTAACTCAGAGCAGAAGGGTGGAATTCTCTTGGCCTCATTTGCTGCATGTGAGCCTTGGGTTGCGTCTCCGTCAATCCTCCGGCAACAGGATTGCATTGCTGGGTTAGGGCAGCCGCAGATAGGCCAGCGCGTATACTTCAGCTGCCGGCTTCCGGAACTTGCGTAACGCAAAAGGACGAATGGGGAAGATCAAGCTTTTCCCCACGCCTGAGTACACCAGCAAGCAAGCCTCGGACCCCGTGGTGCCCCTGGTGCCATGCACGGGCATCTTCCTTGGGCCCAGCAAGTCGGGCAAAACTGTGGCGCTCATCAGTCTCATCCTGGAGCAGTACAAGGGCGTGTTTGAGCGGATCTACGTTTTCAGCGCAAGCGATCCCCGTCAAGAAGTACATCGAGCAGGACCTGGGGGTGAACACGGAGCGTGAGCAGGCTTACTGGGACGAGTGGGATGAGTCCGCCTTGCGGCGCATCATCCAGCAGCAGCGCAAGATCACGGAAGCGTCCAAGAAGTTGGAAATGAAGAAACTGTACCAGGTGCTTGTAGTCATCGACGACTTTGCTGACACGCCGCAACTCCACAAGCCGCATGGCGCCCTTGACACGCTCTTCATCCGAGGCCGTCACATGCAGATCAGCACCTGGGTGAGCTCGCAGAAGCTGAGGCTCATCAGCGCAGCCGTGCGGGTCAACATGCAATTCCTCTGCTGCTGGAGGCTGCGCAACCAGCACGAGCTGGACGCCGTCATCGAAGAGCTGAGCGCCCTGCTGCCGAAGGAGCAGCTGTACCGGCTGTATGAGCAGGCGACCCGAGAACCTTACAGCTTCCTCTTCGTGTACTACCTGAAGCCGAAGAACGAAATGTTCTACAAGCGCTTCGAAGAGCGTTGATGGGAGCGGCGCTCGCTTCCTGGGCCAGAAGCTGTTCGCCAGCTCCACGCTGATCAACGCGAAGTGTGAGAACATCTCCAGCCGCCCGTCGTCCGCCGGACGGGCGGTTTCCTAAAGAAAAGGATGACGACGATCTACGTGGACAGCCGCAAGAGGGTGGCCGGCTCGGACAGCGACTTTGAGGTCGACCTGGGAGAGTCGCTGCACTTGCAGAGCGACGCCCGGCTGGCCGTCTACAAGATCCGCTTGGCCGACAGCTTCCTGTCCACGGACCGCGGCCGCTACCTCTACTGGGTCGACGCCGCGCTCGGCACGCGACCCCCGTGATGTTGCGTTGATCCCCAGGCCCCCCCAGGTAGGTTGAGGTGTCCCCGATCCGTGCCCCCCTGTAGCACCTCCATCGGCGAGAGGTTGGGTCGTCGCGTGTCAAAACCACGATTTTACAGGGAAAGTCTACGAGGGCTCACCTTTGAAAAATTGGCATATTGCCCTGATTTGTTTTTTTGGCGAGAAACCTTCCCACACCGGCCGCAAAACGCGATCGGGGGCTGAAGGGCAGCGGCTGGTGAGGGAAGGGTGAGCAAGCGCAGAGCACAGCTTTCTTTGCCGGCAGCAGGCGATCGGGTGGTGCCAGGGATTGGCTGGCGGGGGAGGCGGGTGGCGACGGACGGCCACGGAGCAAGCGGCGGAGGCGCTGAGCAAGCGCCAAAAAGGCTGCCAAGCAGGCAGCTGGATCCGCGCTGTGGCTGGGTGCTGGCCACAGGTGCTGGCCACAGATGCTGGCCACAGGTGACGACAGGCTCCCTGGCCGCCATTTTATGCCTTTTTTTTGGGAACAAACCTATGATCATGGATTGTGATAGTTTGGTTTTTGAATCTGATAGTTTGGATTTGGGGGGGTGGATTTCTTGTCAAGTTGCAATGGGAAGTGATTAGCTATGCATAATAAGGACTTTTTTCATTCCCTGCACATGGAGTTCGCATGCTTGAGGCCAGGATCGATCACATTAAATCAAGTATATGTATAATAGTACATGTTTGCTGTCTGCATGTGATTTGTGCCAGGTGATGCCTTGTGATCATTTCACGCATCATGCTTACTCTTTGAAGGCATCACCAGGACCACAAATCACATGACCCATCGATCCTGGTCCAAGCATGTGAACCCTGTGCCAGGGAATGAAACCTAAGATAATAGACACATTACTGTATAATACGTGACAAGGTGTCCTGACATGGCAGCCCTTCCCAGAACATGGAAATTGTCAGACAAAAGATGCATTGTCATCCCATCCAGCTTTGCAGGGTAAAGAAAACTTACAAAATATGGCCTGTTTTCAAACGTCTCTGAAAACTAACCATTTTAAGGACCCTTCAGCTCCAGCATGTTGAACATTTGCGCGCTGACATTTTTCACTCTGGCTCAATGATGACCTGGCCGGACGGCTGCAATCCAGGCTAGACCAAGGGTGGGAGGATCATGCTGGGCTGGATTGAAGTAGTTGTTGTCACATGATGGACATGATGTAATCCTACTTCTGATCTGAAGCCTTCAGCAAAACATTGTGAGCACTGGAAACCTACATTGCTGCCGATACAGTCAGGTCCTGAATCAATCCAACAGACACTCGGCTCTAATCCAATGTTTGGCAACTAGCAACAGCAGAAGAGTGAGTGCAACTTTTCTGACTTGACATGAGTCTCATAGTTGTTCTGAAGTTCTGGCACCCATTGTGCTTGAGAGCAAAGGGAACATAAACAAAGGATCATAAACAAAGGATGCACCTTCTGAGACTGATGGTAAATGGCTTCTGGCATCACTGGAGTAGTAGTGCATTATGTGCACTGACACAAAATAAAGGGGCAGCTGTCATTTCCTCCAGCTCTCTTTGTGAACTGGTCGCATAGCCACTGTAAAGTTTGCAATGACACGTCAACAGTGCAATGACATCACTTCAGCTGGTTTGGGAGCCATTGCCATGAAACGTTCAGTGCCAGGGTCATGGTATGTGTTCAACAAGAGTCCGGCTAAAGCTGTTGAGACCAAGAAGCAGAACTACACAACGAGTTGGCAGGGCTTTGCCATGGTTATGCAGACAAATGAATCACAAAGGATGAGAGACTGAGGAGTTTCAAAATGTTTCTCTTGCAACAGCCAATGGAAAGCTTCATTCACCCTCATCCAAAGAACTAGCACGCTTCTTTTGGCAGTGTGGAGTGCTACGAAATTACAGCACTGGCTGCAAGATACTCAGCACTGGTGCGATAAGGCATTTCCCACACACAGGCCAAGCTCGTATGGCAATGTCACAGTGGAAACAGAGTTCTGGAGAAAAAACACCCCAGTTCTTTGGCCGAAAGGGGAGGTCCGTGCCTGCCAGGTCATGGCTCTGGTCATGGAGTCTCAGGCCTCGACGTGCCAGCATGTCAAGCAAACAAGGGACGTGTGTCTCAAGGACCTTCCGGAGCTCAAAAAGCCAACCTTCTTGTTGAAGTGGCACAAACCCCAGCTTGACTTTAGTTATGGTCACCAAATCCTACTGACCTCAGTGCCACACTAGGCATCAGTGATAGACCTGCACAAGGCTGGGTGGTGGGAGGCATCTTGAAGGCAGTGTGCCCGGCTGCATTCGCTTGTTCACTACAGGGGGCCAACATGAAAGACCTGACAAACTATTTGCAAATGCCTCAATCGCAGTAGTGACAGTGCTGTTCACAGCCCATGGTTTATTGGTACATGCATCCCTTTCTTGGCACATGAACCTAAAATATATGTTTACTAGACGAGAGGGACACCTGAGGTAGATTGATGGGGCAGCACACACACACGGGCCTGATATTGAGGATGACTGATGCCATTCCTGGCTCGCAATGGCAGGTTTCAGACCTTGTGCGGGCTGCCAACCGCTTTTTGAATTGATGCCTCTGCCTCTAACACTAAGCTTTCCCAAAGAGATTCCTGGCCCACATCTTGATGGGCTGGACACTTGGGCTTCAGTGTGTTGACATTGCAGTGTTACATCTTTCAACAAAGCTCTTTGGCACATCTAGTGGGGCTCCCTTACAACAGACTCTTTCTGCCAACAACACTCAATGACTCCCATTGAAGTGACTGCTGCAGCAAATGCAGGACAAGCGTTGGCTAGGGAGTGTGGACATTGCTTTTCTGAACCCTAAGTCGCTTGTGCAATTGTCTTTGTACATTTCCACCTTTGTGGAAGTGCCAGGCACACTTGACAGCGATGTGCAAGAGCAACTGGCGTGGAGCCCAAGTTGGAGTGGGATCAGGCCAAAACAAAGCACCCTTGAATTGCCCACTGTTTTGTACAGTTTCACAAGACCAATGAAATTACTTTCATGGTAAACACATGCCACATGAACATTGCCAATAATGCAATGAACCAACAATAGGAAGGCACATATATCTAGAGCACAGGTGGTTCATTGCATACTGGCAAGGTTCATAACATCATTGGTCTTGTGAACTGTTCAAAAAGAGGTCTAGGAAAAAACTGGGATTGATTGTTCGTAGCTTCAAATGGTGGCTGGAGGCAAGTTTTTTTCCACACAGTTTTCAACATGTCGCTGATTGGATCTGTACAGTACCTAGCTGATGGATGGCTGCATCCATGCCATCGGGGCAGGGGCTTTCTGTTGCACCCTCTTTGTTTCACAAGGCGGTGTCAGCCATGAAGGGCCAGCAGAGCATGGCACATGTGGTCTCTGAATGCTCATAGAAGCACTCTGCAAGCAAGGTGTCAGCCAGGAGGGAGTGTTCTCCTTCTGAACCTTTGGCGGCTTCTGAACCTTCTCCTTCTTCACCTTCTCCTTCTTCTCCTTCTTCACCTTCTCCTTCTTCACCGTGGCCTTGTTGGCCTTGTTGGCCTTGTTGGCCTTGTTGGCCTTGTTGGCCTTCACCGCCTTCATTGCCTTCATTGCCTTCATCACCTTCTGCACCTTCGCACCCTTCGCAAGCTTCGCTGTCGATGATGCTTGATCACCATCATGCCTGCTGCTCAGCCATGCTTTCACAATGGCTTGCCCCAGGAGAGATGGGTAGCTCGCACTTTCTTTCAAGCGCTTTTTGATGCCTTGGCAGCGCTTCTTCCCAGAGGCATCTGTGTACTTCTTTGTCGTCCTGAGATGCCCCTGATCACCACAAGGACATGGCTTCACCAATGCTTGGATCCAATCGCCCTGGCCAGCAAAGCGGTACTTCTTCCAAAGCCGCATGCCCTTTTTCCTTGGCTCCCATGCACACCTGTGAGTGTTCACAGTGTCATAGCCCAGCTTCTTGAGAGTGTCCCGCAAAGGTGGCCAGTGCCACATGTAGCTCTTGGTCGGGTTCTCATAGCCCAGGCGAAGTTTTCTCAGCTCTGCCAGCTCGATCAGAACGATGCAGCCCTGCACCATGTTGTTGGCAGCTTGAACTGATTTGTTTCTGGTGTTGCCCCAGTACTTGTTGTTCTTTCCTCGCTTGGTGTTGTGCACATTCAAGAACATCCAAGGCCCACATCTGGGAGCAAGGAAGCACAGCCCACCTTCCTCCAACCTCATCAGTAGCTTCACCGCATTTTCAAAGCCAGCTTTGCAGCCAAAGTCTTCACTCTGGGCTGAGCCCGTATCAGTCACACCAGGCTGCCTCTCAATGTCATATTCAGCACTGAACAAATGATGTTTGGTGGCAGCCCGATGGATGGACCCCACTCCTGAAAATATCTCGCACACCTGAAGGTCTCGATTGAGGGGCGCAAACTCAGGATTCTCTACAATGCTCTTGGCCGTGTGGCCAAACAGAGATGCCATGATGCAGCTGCTTGGGCCATCAAAACTGACCAATGGCACATATGACAACATGCAAGAAGCAAATTGCGGTCGTTGCAATCAAGCGTCATGCTTCAATCCGTTGTGACTCAAGGCATCAAACTTGATCAATTAGCTTCAGCCACACAATCACAACCGCTTTTCACTCTCTTTCAACTTCTCTCCTTGTCATCTGCCAAATTACACTTCTTTCAAAACTTCACCATCATTTGCCAGGAGATCGCAGGCAGGTGAGGATAGTATGGCCCGGCCTTGGCAACAAGACTCTTGTCGCATGTGCAATTAGACATTCATACGATTCACCGAAATGCACAGATCAATGAGACACTCACATGTTCATTGAGACACTCAAGTTCATGATGCAAACTTCCAATCCAATGTCAGCAACTACTGGGTGCCAGACATTCAGTGTCAGAGGTCTCCGTTGATGATCTGCGGCTATTGCAGCCATGCTTTCCAAAAAGCCATCTCGCGATGGTACCTGCGGTCGTCCATTGGCCATCACCCGAAGCTCTGCAGCTGCACGGTAAAAGGAGTGGTCTGCTGACCAATCTGCTGAGAGTTGCTCCAAAAGGTTTGCCATCTGTCGAAGCTGTTTTTTTCGCTTGTCATCAATCTGCAACTGTATTGATCTTGTCGGAGCGGGAGTCAAGGCTGCTGTGACGTACCGGCAGTTGGGAATCATCAAGACTGGCGGCTGACCAGCGCGATCGGCCATGAACTGCTTGCAGATGCAAAAAATATCAAGGGGGTGTACCTCAAAAGGTGAGTTGCCCGTTTGCAGAACTTCTTCCCTCGATAGGTCCATTCTGAACTTCCAAGTGAAACTGTGAGGTGTCTCGGTGTGACGGCGATTCGCAAAGCAGTTGTATGGCTTGATGCCCATTGCTCCAAGCCATTGGTTAAAGTCGCGAACGTGTGTGATGTGCTCCACGTAGCACTGATAGCCCTTGCTCGCCAGCAAGGACTCCATTCCAGCATGGATCCCTTGCACAAGATCAAGTGGAGTGTGGATCCTGATTCGCCTCAAAACTCTGGCAAGCAGCAAGGAAAAAACGAAGTCCACGTCCTCGTGCGTATGCCCCTTGCGCAAGTAGAAGACATTTGTCGTGTCGAAGCCGAATCGCCGAGCTACAACTCCCATGAATAGCGACACTTCGCTATTCTTGCATGCAGCGACTGTGTTGTCTGACTGGACGCAAAGATGCCGGACCATCGGCAAGCCCTGCCTGGCCCGGATCTCTTTGACCCGTGCCAGGGACCGAACAAGGATCTCAAGGATATAAGAAGCCCCATGAAAAGTCCCCTCCTCGTCCGCAATCCAAAAATCACAAGAGTATCCGTGACTCATGCAAGCATGGATGACGAGTCGTGGGCGATGCTGCTTCTCAAGAACCTTCGGCGCCCGGAATGACCACTGCGGAAATGTGCCCTTCGAGCGATCCAAGCCGTCGACTATCAAACAAAGAATGGAGCTGTCTGGGGCCCGGCTGGCCCATCTCAGATGCCAGTACATGACTCTGTCAGCATATTGAGATTTGATGTGATGCTGCCATTCGGCTGCCTTCAAGCGCTTCTCGGCAGGTGTTGCTCGCCCAGCATGAATGAATTGACTGAATTCCCAACACACATCACACTGTGCATGCTGGCACTTCTTTCTCAGGCCGATGTTGAAGGACCAGCCTAGGAGTGAAGGCTAAGGTTCAGGGCAATGAAAAAAAATTAAAAGCCAAGCAATTGACTCCAACCACCTCCCAAAACTTACAAGTCCAGCCAAAAGGCAAGAGACCCACTTTCGCCAGAATGTAGACCAGGAGGCTGGATTCGTGTCAGGTGCCCTGCAGCTCATCCATGACAAGTAGAACCACCACACATCCACAACGTGCTGGTGCTGAATGTATCTGATTGGCAGAGAGGTACCAGAGGCAGGCACTGCCATGTTGCTGACCAAGGTTTTCTCCGGATCACACCCCACCAAAGGCAGCAGGTCGCTCTCTTCCTCAGCAAGCCTTTTCAAAACTGCAACTTCTTCTCGCGTCATGCCTTCCGTCTCCTCAATTGCTGAATCCACGTCGTCGATGTGAAACTGTGTGCTCTCCGGCAAAAACTCAGCTGCACTGTGATAAAGTTCCAGGAAAAATTGGTCTACACTGATGCCAGCAGGAGTCACGTGGCCAAAGTTCCTGCTTCGTCCATCCGTCACTCCATGAACATATTTGTAACAGGTCCGAGGCGTCATTGACAAAATTGCACACAGACGTGCGACGCAAGTGCGTTTGCCCAAAAAGCGCCACTTCACACGGCTTGCTGCAAAGTCCTCATTGCCTGTCTGGTACACTGTACTCAATAGATGGCCCTTCATCTCACCAGTCATACATTTCCACACCTTGACAAAGGTAAGTGCTTCTTGTACGTCCAAACCAGGCTCGCAAACACTGCAGGTTCCCTGCTTGCTTTTGCCCATGCTGCACGGCTTCTTGCAAAGCATCTCAACCTTTGGCCGCTCATTCTTGATGTCCACTGTCTCAATTGCCAGTTGGCTCCCACAAGACAACAATGCCATGCCAACTGTCAAATCAATTTCTGCCATTGACCACTGCTGCTGCTTTGCCGGCCCTGCTGCAGATGAATCTTCGCGACAAACAGGCGGCTGAATCCACTTTGGAGTGGCAACCTCTACGCGCCTCCGCTTCGGCCCACACTCTGCATCTGTGCAGACCGACGGTGTCATCCAGGCAGGCTGGTGTGCGACAGAATCAGAAGCCACTGGTGGCGTTTGCCAGGAGGATTTCGATTGATGTCGTCCAGCCCTGGGCTCATGCACGGGTGGTGTCATCCAGCTTGGGTCCCTTGAGGCCATTGCTGAAGACTCCAGGCCAGCAAGTGACTAAGTCATTGAGTCGAACATGCTGCCACTGCAAATAACATCAAGTTGAAGTCAAGTCACAATCACGGCAAACAACCAACTTCAACATTGTAATTTGCAACATGTCAAGCATGATGACATGATCGGACATGCTGCACTCATCAACAAATGCAAAGAGTGATCTGATGGCACTGTTTCACCCCAGTAGGCTGGCATCACAGTCACTCGCACAGACCACCCCCCCCCGGATCTGTAGGCTCGGGCTGCTTGCAGGCAAGCCTATCTACATGTGAAGTAACACTAAATCTGAGGCCTCAGTCAGGCATTCTTGGGCTGACTACTTGGCCAACTTGGCCTGAAGGCCCTTCTTCCAGCTCTCACTTGCCTTCTTCAGCTCAGCGCGGACTTCTGGCTTCGAAGGCCTCTTGTCAGCCAACTTGCAGTCGCAGTTGGGCAAGGCTTTCTTGAGATGATGCCGCACATGCTCCCAGTACCTCTGTTGCGTGGCAGTCTTCCCGATCTGGATCAACTTTCCAGGGAACTTCTTCTGGAGCTCCTCCCGCGTCTCATTGTACAAGACCTTCTTGAGCTGAAACAACTCTCTGCCTTCTTCACTGGTCGGTGGGCGATTGCCAGCAAAAGTGCCAGCCTCACCCCTCGCTGCTCTGCGCTTCTTTGCAGGGGGCTCAGGACCTTCGACAGGACAAGGACCATCATCTGTTGTCTCCGCAGTGGCCGCCATGATCTTCGTGGGCTCAGGGCTTCCACAGTCTTCTCGTTGAGGCTTCTCCATAGACTTCTCAAGCTCCTGGGCAGTCTTAGGGTTGTGGCCTTGTCGCTTGAGCACAGAGAAAGCTGCATCTGGGCTTTTGCCTTGGCCGCAATGCAGGCTGCCTCCTCCTTCTCCGTAGCTGCCTTCTTGGCATAAGCCAATGCCAGAGCCGAATGGTGCTCAGCCGCCTTCTTGGCAGATGGCGGCATTCTTGAACTTGTGCCAGCATCAGGGCGACCTGTGGGCGACGGTGTGCACCAGCTTGGCCATGCACTTCCCCTCCAAGGAGTCGTAGACACAGGTGGCAACGGGGCAGCTGCAGCTTTGCCTTGTCCAGGATCTTGAGCTTTGCTCGGGCCAGGGGACATCCAGTCCATGTTCTCAACCTCCTCGAGGCCCTCCAGGTCCTCATTGTTCATGAAGAACGATGCCATTCTGGCAAAGGGGCAGGGCGCTCCAGTCAGCACTGCAAAAGCTGCAAGAGTACAACCTGCAATGGGCAATTTTCAACCAATCAGACCAACTGTGACATGCTCAGCAATCACACACACACACACTGGCATTATTCCATGAAAGATCTGTCACAAGATGCAATGGAGGCAGTCACAAGCCGGCTGACAGTGTTTTCACCCTTTCTCTGATTGATCAGATCTGCACAGTTGTTGGCCCTACCTGCTCGTGCCAAAATCAGGTCGGCTCAGTGGCCTGCATGGCAGCCTACACTAGCTTGGCAATCTTGCCTGCAGGAACTTCAAGCTCACATGCCGGGTACAGGCCGGGCTTGTCTGGGTTCATTCCCCAGCTTTGCTCTGACGAAGTCACCGCCCATCGCTGGCCCAGCACAATCAGCTCTTGCTTTTTGAACTCCTCCAAGACTGACGAGGAGGCAGCAAACAGCAGGCTGCCAGCATCCTCCCAAGTCGGAGGCTTGGAAGAAGCAACCTTTCGTGGTGTGGGCTGCGGGCTGAACACAATGGCAGACGCGTCCTTCACTTCAAATGCCCGCTTGGTCACATCGCCTGCAGCATCCTGCGTGCAGCAACAAATCATGACTGTGACCAAACACAATGGTATCAAATATTGGGTAACTCTCAATCTTTATGATAGCAGGCCTTCTCAATCTTGGGCTCAACCTTGTGGCATGCAATCTCGAGGCTGGAGATGTCTTTGCCACCGGACTCAAGCTTTGACAGGAAGCTTCGCAAGGTCTCGGCAGATTCTCCCGGCTCCTCGCCCTTGCGAAAGTGGCCCATCACCTCATCATTGCTGAAGCCAACCTCATAGTAGAACGCCTTGCCCTGCATGATCTTTTTTGCATCCTGGCCGGCAAACTGTTCATAATTGAGGCAAACAAGAAACGGCGCATGCTGAAAGAAAGTCCTCATTGATCTTGAAGCTGCCAAACACCAAGGCCAAAGGTGGGTCCATAGGTGACAGTGTGGCCTTTGCCTCCCCGGCTGCAAACCACATGTGCCCGTCACTTGCAATGACAACTTGCCCTCCACCATATGCAAATGCCGTAACCTTGTGCTTCTTCTTGATGTCCTCCAGGCTGTCCTCCACCGTGACCACCTCTTTGGTCTTCTGCTTCTTGGTCATGGGCCCATCTGTGCTTCCCCCCTCGGCTGCGCGCTTCGTCCCATCATACGCCTTGCCCTGAGGGTTGTACAAGGCATTGTGATCCTGCACCACCTGTGCCCACTGCTCCTTCAGGTCATCCGCGACCAGCTTCTCCGACATTACATCCAAGAACTTCTGGGTGAAGGGAAGGGTGTCGGCACCTGATGGGAAGGTCACCTGGAAATCGCTCTCCTGCAGCACTGGTGTAGTGCGGTTGTCAACAAACTGCGCCAAGGCCTCCCAGTTCGGGATCTTCATGATGCTTTGCTCGGCCATGTTCTGCAGCCTCCGCCTGACAGCCACCAGCAACCATCTCGAGATCTTCTGATTCTCAACTCGCTTGCCTTGCTGATGGTCATCCCGGGTGTTTGCTTCGGCCCAGCATGTGCCTATCCACAAATGCATGGGCTCAGTGCTGTTGCTGCTCCTCCTCATCACGCACTCTGCCGTGCTGTGATCATAGGCAAACACGTCGATGAAGGCGACCATCGAGTTGCGGCCTTTTCCCATGCTGAGCCAGATGCCATCAAGGAAAGCCGCAGGCAGCGTCCATCCCGAAAGCCATTGCTTCCGCCTTGCCGGTCGGCTCACATCTCCAGGCCCTGTGGAACCAGCAGTTGAGAAATCTCGCCTGGGATCCACATAGTTCCTGATCGGGTTCATGATGCACTGGGCTGATTGCTTTGTGCAAGGCACTGTCTGTCTCCTCCACAAGACAGACTTGCTGTAGATGGACAACAGCTCCTTGTCTGTGCCCACCTGATCACTGACAGCCATGTAGAACTTGTGATTGGCAGGCCGTTTGCTTTGAGCCGGGATCGTGCTGGGGTCAAAAACCACCGTGATCTCTCTCACCAACAACCTGTTGTCCACATCTCTCAAGGCATCCAGGATCTTGAGCGCTTGCTCATGAACATCATGTTCTGAGTACTCGTTGCCGAAAGCCCCAGTGGTTGGGGCTGCAATGATCATGCAGCTTCGGCGAGGGTCCGAGGCAATGTGACCAGAGAACTCCTTGATCGCCTCAATGGTGTTCTTCACGGCGTCGTACCCCAAGGTGGAGCTGTTCAACCAAAAGATCCTGTGGCACTCCTCATCGGCAATGCCGGCCTCATTGGCAAAGCGGTTCGCACAGGACTCAACGAACGTGGTGGCATGGCCAAGCTCAGCTAGATCACGAAGCGGGTAGTGCGTCTCCTGGTGCACCTCAACTGCAGCCCTTTGCGATGCCTTCTGCTTGTCCACCAACTCTGCCTGCAGCCCCAGGCCAGCTCGCTGAAAGTTGGCCATCGACTCCTTGAAATCCAAGAACTTCTTCTGCTCCTTGTTCAGCTTGGCCATCGCCGTGTTGAGCTCTGCCTTCTGCAAGTCAAGGTCGGCCTTTGCCTCATCGATTTTGATGGCCACCCCACTTTTCACTCCAAACTCCTGTAACATCCTGAAGGAAGATGCAGTCAACTGAGGGTCAGCAACCCTGTACTTCTCCACAAGCTCCATGTCCAAGTAGCCCCGGATGAACTTGTTCCCCAAGGAATCCATCTGGGCCGCGGTCAAGAGCTCCTTGAAGGCTGGCAGGTAGTGCACAAACAAGCAAGTGATTGCCCAGCACGTCTCATCATCCTTTTGGTCCCTGAAGGAAGCTGCATTTGCAGTCAAGTTGACACGCTTGCGAAGACGCTTGGCATCACCCAGCTTGTGGAGAAAATACCTGATGCGCCTGGCCACAAACCAATGCACCTTGACCATGTCCGTGCTCAAGATGCTCCGCCAGAGTTCGCAGTCGATTCGAGGCTTGCTGCCGCACCGAACCTGTTCACACGCAAGCTGCTTGTAGGTGAGGCCACTGTTTTTCGCTGGGTAGTTGCTCCAGTGGTAAGCGATCAGCTCCTGGGACTCCTGCATCAGGTTGGGGTACATGGTGACAACCGTCTGCTCCAAGTCGCTCAAGCGCTTGCAGTCCACCCCGGAGCCAGCATTGAACTGTGCGATCAGGTCACCACTCCCATCTTTCCAAGCCCGTCCCTCCTCAACACATTGCTGCAGCAGGATTCCTGAGATTTGCACCGGGTCAGGTCGTGGCCTGCTGCTCTCAGAAAACTTCTCCTGCAGTGCCCTGAATCTGTCCTCCTTGGCATTGCCAGTGGACCTGTAGATGCACTTGAAGGCGAACATTGCACGCAAATGTGGCGCCAACAGGGTCAACTCACCATCGGTCAAGTTGGTCTGGATGGCCCCAAGCAAAATGAGCTTCATCGCGATGCTCTTCGTGAAGCCGATGGAGATGGACACCTGGAAGGACGGAATTGGAGCACCAGGCTGCAAACCCTTGAAGTTGATCAGTATGGGGTTGCTGGCCGAGTCAAAGGGGCGTTCCAAAAACTCTCGGAAGAGCCTCAAGATGTAGACCATTTTCGATGGGCCTTTGAGTGAGAAGCATGGCTCATATCCCAAGTGCCAAGGATTGAGATACAGCTCCACGGACTCATCGTCGGGGGAAGGAACAGTGGCCTGTGTGGCATGCCGCGTAAAGATATGCTGGGGCTGCAGCTTGTCCAACCGCACCAGCAGCGTCTGAAATGTGTCCTTGAGAGCAGCAGGGTTCCCGCCAAAGAGCTTCGACAAGTAGTCACCTAGAAGCAGGCAGTTCCAGACATGAAAGATGATTGAATGCATCATAAGTTGTGGCAAGCCATTCAAAGTAGCAATCAAATGAGCCCATGGCAAGCATCCACTGCGTCGTCCACTTCAGGGTTCCCACTGCCACCGAAGGTGTCCTGTGCCCAAGCCTCAAGCTTGGCAGTGACAGCCTTGAGCTCCTTGCTCTGCCCCCACATTGCACACACTGGGCTGCTTTCAGACACTACTGAGGCAACCACAGCTACGGTGAATTGAACATTGCAATTTGGTGGTGTCCCTTCCAGAAAATGAGATTTTGAATGCTTGTGCCACTTCAACAGTATGTGATGGGCATGGCTAAGTATTGGCACTACCCACCCCCACCAGTGCCAATTCTCAAGTAACAAGTATGAGATGCTGCCTTTTCTTTAGGTCATCTAATATATGTGTTAGACTTGGCAGCATGCTCATACCCTTTACTTCAGACTTGGCACTAGTGGGGGTGGCTAGTGCCAATTTGGGGGCTATCAAGGGACCACCCTCTGAAGTGGCACAATCATTCAAAAACTCATTTGCAGCCCAGGTTTCCACCAAAACTTCAATTGTCCAGCAACTCATCGGACAACAACTCATTTGCTAATGAGACTCTTTAGAAATGGCACTGGCCAGGGTGTGTAGTGCCATTTCTTGTGATCTCATTATGAAATGAGTTGTCACATCCTGGCACCCTCCCCGAATTTTTAAACAAACTCATTTCAAAGTGTGTCAACTAGACTTGGCACTAAACCATTTTGGTGGTGGACAATGAGGACACGCTGAGTGCCAGCCTGGTTGATGTTCTCTGTGGGTCACGTTGCGCAGTAGAGAACCAATGGCCTGCCAGTACAAAGGTGCAGCTCATGCCATGGCTGAAGGCACACAGTTGAATCTGAGAACTGTTCATGCATTGACGCGTCAGTTGTTTCATGATGGACCTGTTTAGCCAGCCAATCTCACCGCTTAGTCTGTGTTGCCACATGGTGAGTGTTAAATCTCAAACTCAGCTCAGGCTCTGGCTCACTGCAGGCCTTGTTGCCAAATCAAAGCCTCAAGGGGCCTCAGGATGAACAACCAGCTATCAGTTACTGGCAGTGCTACATGTCCCATGTTGATGATCGATTCCAGCAAGTTGCAGTTTGGTCTGAGTGCTGGACAAGGAGGCATTGTATGCATGCTGACCTGAGTATTGCAGAAATGAAGTTGAATGTATGCACTCATGCAAAGTGCACAAGCCCTGACACAAACTATGTAGCTGCATGGCCATGTTCACATCGATATTTTTGTCCATGCAATGCCGGAGGCTCGAATGTGACCGCTGCAAAACACCAACAAAGTTGACCAGCATTTCGGGTCAAACCTGAGGCCTGGAAGCAACATTCCACCTGAACCTGGTGCCTTAGTGCTCTCAATGTGTTGGCTGAGTCTCTGAGGAGCCTCACATAAATGCCCCCTGTGTATGTTTGTGTTTCGTATTGCTTTTGTCTTGTTGCTCAAGCCAACTTTTGAAGGGTGTACATCATGCCCTGCACCAAAAATCCCAGGCTTCAGGCTACCTCTCAATGCCATCTCTAGGCATGAGACGCACGGGCCTCACGGCTATGCAACTCACGGAGGATGATCATCCGCTCAGTGTCCTGAGTTTCATTGCGAGAGAACATGCATTCCCAGCATGATGAACGAAAGCTCAACACTGAGTGACTTGTCTCAAACAGTTGCTGGTGTGACATCACAAATCTGCACTGAACATGACAACCAACACTGACTAGAAATTGATTATTTGAAGGCTAGGGGCTCTTTTCTCCTGCCGCTTGAGCATCCGTGTGACATTGAAGAGAAGGTCCGCAATCTCCTCCAGTGTCGATTGAAGCTGCGACGTGGCTTCTGGCCTTGCAGGCTGTGCCACAGATGATGATGATGAGGAAGACGATGTCTTGGGCTTGGCCTTGGGCTTGGCCATGGGCTTGAACGTCTTGTCCTTGCCCTTGACTTTGCCCTTGACTTTGCGCTTGTCTTTGCCCTGGTCTTTGCCCGTGTCTTTGCCCGTGTCTTTGCCCTTGTCTTTGCCCTTGTCCTTGTCCTCCGACTCCTTCTCCGAGGATGCCTTCTCAGCTGCCGGGCTGGTAGGGGAATGCAGCTCCTGCTTCACCTCCGCCGAGCACCGTGGCTGGTCCAGCACCTCCAGCGGCTGCTGCTCCTCCTCAGACACAAGCCCCTCCGGCGGTGTCACAATCTCTGGCTTCTCATCCTGCCAGGCGGACTTCCCTCAAACATCAAATTACAGGAAGTGCCTGAATTCCACCAAAAATTCAGGAGCAGGTGGAGGAAAACAATCCGGGCCACAACAAGCAGATCATCAGTAGCTTAGATCTACGTAACTCAACCAGTAACAGCTTTACTTCTGAGTATGTCTAGAGCAAATGAACAGGGTCATGTGTTTTAGTACACTTTGAAGAAGAAGGCTAGCCCAACCTTTATTTGTTGCCCACCAATGCCTCTGGGACCTCCATCGGGCGTACAGGCCCAACGGCAAAGGGCTTCGCAGAAGCCTGCACAATCGCAGCCAAATGCCTCCCAGGCACCAGCATTGCTGACAGCGCTTGTTGCACGTCTTTGTTTGTGCTATCTTAGATTGCTGACTGTTCGGTGCTATCTTAGATGGCTGAGTGTTCGGTGCTATCTTAGATTGATTGATGCGCTATCTTAGATTGATGCTGTGTGCTATCTTAGATCAATGCTATGTGCATCTTAGATTGATGCTGACTGTTTGGAACCGTGACATAATGTCCACACACTGGATTCTTAGAGCCAACATAAAAGACATTCACAGTCGGTCAGATGCAGGGAATGCCATACAATGTGTCCCACACATGCAGACTCTGGGCTTCTAGCTGGTGCCAGCGTCTGGAAGATGATGAAAAGACTGCCAGGAGCCTTGTGCACAAGGCTTTCGGCTCTAAGTCTCATAGCATAACTGGTGAAAAAAGACATGGCAAGTGCTGGCAAAGTAGCTTTGTCAAGGTGAGTGAATGCATGCTTCCCTTGCAGCAACACAAAGAGCTGAGCATACAACACGATGGCAGTGCACTAAGGCCTCAGCAGGGGAATTCTAGCTTCACAGTATGTGTGGCTGGCTGCTCTGAGTTCGAGGCCATGCGATCATGGAGGGGCTGTCGGCTGAAAAATCCGGTGCACCTGCAGCGTATGATGCAGAAAGGGACTCCATAAGGCGCATCCCAAACCTCAAAGAAAAGGGCAACTGGCAAACTGAGCTGGAAGCAGTTGGCTGAAGGAGAAGTCATCAAACTTGTGTTCGGCGCTGCCCTGTCAAACGTGCTTCAGAGATAAACAGTGACGGCAATATGTTGGATACTTCTCCCCAGTCATGGCAGATTCAAGGTTGTACATGCATGGGCAACCGCTCTGGAACAATGTTTTGATCTGGAGGATTCTGGTGTGTTGGAAACACATTGACCTGAAGATCGTTCTTCAACAACAGCCAGAAGAGTCAAGTCAGGTAGGAACAATGCCTGCAAGCTATGCAGCAAAGTAGCAAAATTTCAACGAGCTGCAATGGCAATGACAGGACATGTTTTGATTTGCTACTCTGCTGCACGTTTACAGGTTGAGTGTTGAAATGGTTCGCAACTCTTCTGACTGAATGTTGGAGAATGCCATGACAAGAACATCCGATGAGAACTAATGCACAAGCTTGCCTCCCAAATTAACTCACCACGGGATTGTGCTCAGCTTGCACAATGCACTGGCCATTGGTACTTGTAAGGGGCCTGGCCAGGTACTAAAATAGTACCTGTTTGTGACTCCTTATTGCCCTCAAATCCTTCTTTGCGTGGCGGCCCTGCATGTGTAAGATGTGTGATACAGTGTGCTGTTTCATACGTGCAAGCAAGCCAATCGAAATGAAGAACGCCCAAAAGGCAATGCCACACTGAGCACCCCACCCATCACCCTGCAGGAGAGCAAGGTCTGAGTGAGCATGGCTTGCCTGTGATGCATCTCGCTGACATGTTCTTGATTTTTCCTGACAGTGATACATCTTGCTGCTGAGGGTTCAAAACACTTTGCATTGCATGAGCCTCGAGACAAATTGATGGACATGCACCATACTGGGCCGCCAGCCAGGTTCAGAGTCTGATAGTGGCCAGCTCCTTCAATTACTTTGTGAGTCACCCCTGCCCCCAACAACTTCTTCACCCCTCCCTCACAAGCTCTCAGGGCTTTGGCGACAATGCAAATAAGGCCCGGCTTGTGCCCAAGGGTTGCAATTTGAGTGTGGACCAAACAGTGAACGAGCAGAATAATACCATTGTTGCAATAATGTTTCTTTGTCTGACTCGAGCCGCATCTCCTGCTCAGCTGTCGCACTTGGAAACTCGACCTCTTCCTTGGCAAAGGGCGATACTGAACAGATTAGCAGAAACATCTTCCTGTGTTGACTTCACTAGATTGGCTGTAACTGTAGGCCTTTGTAGGCCACCCAATCTCAGCAAGGATATCACATCACGCATGTTTTCCAACTCTCACTGGCACAGTCACAGGCAGTCGTTCCCTGAATCCATTATGTTGAGTAGCTATGGGCTGACAGCAATGTGCCATGTGTATGGTGACATTTTTTTGCAGAGTCCCAGGGTTGCACAGAATAAGCAGTCAAATGTCCCATTGTTTGGACCAATTGCCCTATTGCCCCATTGTCGAGAAACACTTTGGAAAAGCTTGCAACGCCTGAGCCCAAGGCCAGTGCCAGCAGCTTCTGGCGGTCAATGCCTATGTGAGGCTGGTTCAGGGGGAAGGTGTGGCGTTTCTACTCATAGTTTACCTCAAGCTTGAGTTTGTCAGTACGTCAAACACTAGCTTTAATTTGACAACTCAATGCACTTGCCATGTGTGCAGGTGGCCTGAATTTGTTTGTGAGCCTAGTTCATGACCATGACATAGTAGTTGACCATGACATAGTAGT